TGAAAAGATTGGTGTACTAACCTTGGTTGATGAGGTATGAATTAGACTTATAGTGCTTGTTCTTCAAATTTCCTTTGCAATCTGATTTCTTCCCCTGTCCCCTGCTCAGCGTGAGCAGAGCAGAGCTTTTCCCCACGCAGAGCAGATCTGTTTTGTTTGCTTTCCTTCTTTTCCAAGTCTTGGCTGTTTTATTCCTATGGATTTCCTATTGTTGGGTTGTTTTCTGGGTTGTTGCATGTTTCATGGGCCAAGTTATTGGGCTCTACTATTTTGTTGCATAGAAATTACAACAGGTGCTCTGTGTGGGCTTTATTTAAAATCAATTGTTTTATGGCCAGCCAACAATCATGTGCTAGTTTATGCTAAAACACACGGTTTTTGCTCTGTTACAAATCGTGTGTTACGTAGGCACACTACTAGAAACCAAAAAATTTCTATCGGTAAAAAACCGACAGAAAAAAGCAAAAAACGACAAGGAAAATTAAAAATATTTTTTCTCTCGGTATAACGACAGAACTAAAGCGACAAGGAAGTAACTTTTTTTATGTCGGTTGTATTATTTTACTATTGGTTTACTATTTTTCTTGTCGGTGGGGCGTCGATAGGAAAATTGTGGGTCGCCAAGTCTAGAATTTTGCTTCTGTCGGTAAATGACGACAAGAAAAATGTGTGTACCGATAGGGAATAAAATTTCCTGTCGGTGCTGAACCGCCAGAAAAATAAACTCGTACCGATAGGAAATATTGTTTTTTCTGTCGACGGAGTCGCGACAGGAGAATTACAGTTTTCCTGTTATCCTCTCCCGACAGTATAATTATAACGTACCGATAGGAAATAATTGCTGTCACCAGGCCACAGAAGCACCTCATTTATTTATAATTTCATACGATATTCATGATAACAGTATAGGCACAAACATGACATCTGATTCTATAAGGTTTTCAACTAGAACACAAATATATTGCATCAATTTGTCATCATCCACATGCCATACATATAGATTAGATGCCCACGGTTGGCATCAACAGCCACAAATTAAGATGCCCATAGGTCTTGCATCCATAGCTACATAATTAAGATGTCCATAGGTCTTGCATCCACAGCTACATAAATAATAATTTCACAAAAGCATCAACTAGTTGATTGTCTTTCCCAAAAACTGGCATCAACTTGTTGGCTGCACCTTTACTATCTAAAGGTTAGAAATGGCAACTACCAACAGCTTCTACAAACACAAAATGGCATTATCTGTTTGTGATGACTCCCACCTTCATGCATGGTTTCGGTTCAGTGTTTCTAATGCAGCTTTGTATGCGGGCATTGAGATTGTCTTCATCGTGGCCATATGTGGCATTATCATCATTGGTCGATTCCGAGCCAACATGAGAAGAACCAGTGGCCTATACATATATGAAGAGAAATATTAGTTAGATTGCTACAGGTAGTAGTAGTAATCTTCCAGATGCTAACAACAACCAGTAGGTAAACACATTCTAGATGGAAACAAAGAGATTATTTGCCTTCAGCATGTACTACCAATTAGCCATACATAAACAAAAATGTACCACCAATTGTCCATCCCAAGGTGTACTTGTAGTTGTACCATAGATCTATCAAAGCATACACTCAGAACAAATCACTAATTTCAAATAATGCTCACAAAATTAATCATCAAGCAATATTACAGTCTTACAGAAGACGTCTTAAAAATGCTAATCTTATTGTTTCATTTAATATTTATTCATTCATAAGGAAAAAATCATACAATTCCCATTTGTCATCAATGCCACTCAACAATATTAGAAAAATATGTGCTGATATCAAGTCATGTGAGAACAGAACAGTGCTACCTATTTTTAGGGAATCAGATCTATGAAAATTAGGCAGTAAGTATAAGTGCATGATAACACATTGGTTCAAAAATTAGTTGAGAGGAGAAATCTGGAGTGATATCAACTGAGTCCCGGTCCATGGGAACTGAACCAATGCAAATATCTACCTTACCATTAGTACTCAATTAATTCAATTTAAGTCCAGTAGCTACGCAAGAATCAAGATGAGGCCACTTTCTCACTGGTGAACTGCATGTTGCCATTTTGAATACCACATCAAAATTGCAGTCAACAAAAAACAGGTTGCAGCCACAGCTACTTGCACATTTCCATGGGATAGGGAGATCCTTGAAGAAGCTTATGAGCAGCAGCCATACTGTCTTACTGACATTCTAGTTCTAGTAATATTGTCTTACTGAATGCAAGCACACAGCCATAAGCCAACTTGATCATAAAAAGTGAACAAAATTGAAGTCTATCACTAGTAGCCATAACCATGACAAACAAATAAGCACTTCAAGCATTGCTGACAGTGAGACTGTGGAACAACCAAATATTTAAAAGTGGCATGCTTTCATGTTACATGAAGAGACAAACAGGATACAACTGTAACTTCAAGGTTAAAGTTTAGCTTCATTTCTAAAACAAACTTAGTAGATATAAGGTACAATACCTTTTTACACACATGGCTAACACAGAACAAGTGAACAATGCAGTAAGTAATACCATAAGCATTGTTTCTTAAGAGGTTTGGTCCTCGGCTAGAACCCAAGGCTTCAGTGACATTTCATAACCAAAATCAGGAGAAGCTCAACAGAAATCACTAGTCATGTATCCATTTTAGGCTATCACGGTTGGATTTCAAGAACTAAAATTTTGTAGAAACTAAATGATTAATGTATGCTTTCATAGCTAGACTTAGATTTACATACCATGCGTTGTTGTGCTTTGTTGTTGTTTATGGTTGGATTCAAGCTCCAGTTCAGCAGCAGACTAAAAGTGAGGGGAACATGGAACACTAGCACAGACAACTACCTGCAGGAAATCAGTCCCTAGATTATGCTAGGCCGTTGTGAGCTGTGTCATGAGTGGGGCAGTTCCTCTATTTTACAACACATGTGAGATTGATTTTCAGTTCAGAGTGGAGAAGGATCTCTAAAGTTTTCTATTTCTCAATCTGAAACAAATTACAGATGAGTATTCTTAACTAGGTATAGGTTTGATTGAAATGCTTCGGACTATGCAAAGACATAGCTAGATAAATTAAAGAAAGAGTCTGGCTGTCCAGTTAACTTACTTTTTTATCAACAGATAGCGGCTTGGACAAATTCAGGCCCATATGCAGAATTTTTTGTTGCTGCTCTTATTTGCCCTGATTCAGTATATAGTGAAGATCCACTGCATAGAACAAATACATGCCTCAGAAAGCTCATTTTGGTTGTCTCTTACCTGTAATGCAAATGTATGATATGTCAAAGATAGCATGTCAAAGGTTGGCCTTTCCAATTCCTTCATACTGACCAAACAGAAAACACCAATGCTAATTTACCAAAATCTAAAATACCCATTGTATGAAACATATGTTGCTTACGGTATAAAAACTAGGCCAATGGGAGAGACTGTAGTGTGCTGACAGTATTATCAAGTGTACCTTTACACCACTCAGTATAATTCAAGTTTTTCAGTTCCTTACTTCTCCCTACAGAACACAAAATTATGCATAGGCTGGAGAAAGAAAAACAACTTTGATAGCCACACATAGTATTATGTTGAATACACAATCAGGACTCAGTAACTCAGCAGGCCAATAAATTATGAGAATAAATGACAACACATACATTCATGCTACAACTGTGTTTGCATTGTATTAATCTATCAGCTAGATTGATTTTCAGTTCAGAGTGGAGAAGGATCTCGTTTCTGGCTGGTTTCTGTGTGGAGATATGCAAATATATATTTCATAATACTACAAAAATCGAGAGGTTTTTGGCTGGTTTCTGTGTGGATATATGCATACAAAAAATTGGAGATATGAGATTGGGAGAGACGAGATTTAGAACCTGCAGCATGAAAAGCCAACGCCGGACAACCGGAGAGAAGCTGCTGGACGCATGGCACCACAGCATTCCTTGAGCGTGGAGCTAGTGTTGGCTTGACCAGAAACATGGAGAGCACGCGAGGTAGCCGGATCCGCCGCCGTAGCCCCAAAACGAGGTGGAGACGAGGTGAGGGTGCCCGATCTGCCATCGTCGGAGTCAGATCCGGGGGCGGGGGCGCCGCTGCTGCTTGGGGGCGTGAGGTAGCAGGGTCGTCGCCGCTCGTACCAGGGACGCCGCTCGTACCGGGGACGCCGCTGCTTAGGACCGCGCGAGGGAGTCAGATCTGTCACCGTCGCTGCCCTAGCCTTGCGCGCCACCACTTGGGGGCCAGCAGGGAGGGCGCCGCTGCTTGGTGATAGGAGGAGGCGCCGTAGCTTGGTGACCGGAGGAGGCGCCGCTGCTTGGGGGCCGCGCCGTCGCGGGGCGAGCGAGCCGAGAACCGGATCTCCCGCCGTCGCGGTCTCACGAAGTGCAGGAGGCGGCGAACGGGTGGGAGAGGAAGAGAGACAGAGTGTGGCGCTAGGGTTTGGGGCGCCGCTTTTATATGTCCGCGGCATAAACCGCCCGCTGTTGGGCCGGCTGAAAGGCCAACGCAGGCCAGGCCCAAGTTGGCTGCGCGTTTCGTTCTCCAGCGCTTGTCAAAATGAATTTTTACGTCGGTGTCACCAAAACACACAGAAAAACTATATATTTTTTCGTCGGTAGATGGAAAACCGACAGTAAAATTATATTTATTCTGTCGGTTTCGTTATTTTTTTTTGTCGGTTAGTAGGTAGCCGACAGAAATATACAATTTCCCTGTCGGTTTGTCTTTAACCGATAGGGAATTTTAAGTTTCCAGTAGTGGCAGCCAACAACCATGTGCTAGCTTATACTAAAACACACGGTTTTTTCTCTGTTACAATTTATGTGTTTTGCAGCCAGCAAACAACCATGTGTTAGCTTTTGCTAAAACATGTGGGTGTACACTAGACAGACTCCTGCTTTAACGTATGTACGATTATTCCCATATTAGCGCGTCGTGCGTTGCGTGTGACGGTGCTCGCTGCATCGATGGCTATGTACTTAATTAATAGGCCCTGGCAGAGGCGAGAATGGAGATGCCGTCCCGGCGGTCGTCGCCGAACCTTGCGACGGCGCAGTCGGTGGCGAAGATATCCGAGGAGAGGTACTCGGCCGCGCCGCCCATGACAGGAATCCTGGACTTCACGCTGAGCCGGCTGACGTAGTCGGAGCGGTACGTCTGCCCGAGCACGCCGTGCACGTCGTCGGTGAGGTCGACGAACCTGAACCCGAGGTCCAGGTGCGCGAGGCTGTCGTCCTCCGTCACGCCGTAGCCGTGCACGCGGGAGTCCTCCTCGCTGACGGCCACGACGTTGGCCACGACGTCGAGCACCCCCTCGAGGCGCACCCTCACGCCGTTGGTCGCGGCCGTCCTCGTGACGGTGAGCGCGGGCGTGGCGGCGGGCCGCCACGCGGCGCCGGTGTGCGCCGGGATGGCGACGCGCTCGCCATCGAAGGCCAGGTCGAGGCGGTCGACGTCGCTGCTCCACTTGGCGGTCTTGTGGGCGCCCACGTAGAGGCGGTGGTGCGCGAAGCGGATGCCGAGCGCCTGGATCCAGGTGAAGTCGCGGCTCATGGAGGGGTCGCGCCTGCCGATGAAGTGCGCGTTGATGTGGAGGCCGGCGTCGGTGAAGACGCAGAAGTCCCGGTCCTTGCTGCCGTGGAAGTAGAAGGTGTTGCCGTCGCCGCCCGTGAACCGCGGGTCGCCGCACGTCATGCCGGGGTAGAAGTCGCAGATTTGCATGCGTTGGAAGCAAGTTAAGAGCTAGTTGGACTTTTGGACGGCGGCGGACCGGGCGCGGCAGATCTAGTGCAATAGTGTATGTGTGTACGTACTGCAGTAGGTCTTGCAGCCGGGGCAGACGACGATGCACTGGTCGGGGCAGCGGGGCTCGCACCTGGCCATGCACCCTGGCTGCTTCGTCTTGGGGTCCGGGCACGTCAGCTGCTGGTTCCTCTTGTACCTTCCCTGGGTGAGCACGCGGTAGTTCAACCGCAGCGGGCGCAGGCCGCCGCGCGGCGCAGGAGCAGCTTGCTGGGTGGATGCCGCCGCCGCGCACATCGCCGCCACCACAGCAGCAGCAAGCAGCTGCAGAAGCACACACGCATCAGGACTCAGGAGCCATTGCCGAGACGACGACGTGTACGACAGGCTGCGTTTCGGGAGGAACGGAGGGAGCTAGGCAGGGCTTGGTTGCTGTATTTATGCAGCCGCCGCCGGCCGGCCAGATAACAAAAGCCTCGGGTCAACTGGGCGAGACCGTATATAGAAATGGAGAAGGGAGTCCCGGCGGGCGGATGGATCGGTGAACGCCGCCGGCCGGGTGGTGCGCGGCGTCGTGCACAAGCGAACGCGTTGCGCACAGCTGCCACTGCGAGACGACGTCGACGCGGCATGCAGGAACGAACCGGCCGGCAGGGTCTTTGCCGTTCTAGCTCGCGACCAGAATGCGAGTCCGGTGCCGCCGCCGCGGGCGCCCGTTGTGGGTCGGTCGGCACTTGGCAGGATCGTCGTCGTCGATCTATTCCTTCACTTCACAGGTGACAGGCCACAGGGGCTAAGAGGAAGCTTGGAATGACGTCATGTCAGGGCGAATTGGCGATCACGCAAAGCGCAGCGCCGGCATTATATGTGTGCCAATTGGGTTCAAAGTCAAAGCGCGGATTTTATGAAGCAAGACACAGACACTCACCCCATATTTGTCAGTGGTTTTTTTTTTGGGTGTGTTTTCGCCGGTGAAACGTACTGTTGACAAATCTTGAATGACCATTACATTGTGCAACTTAAGAAATCCTTTTATTATTTAACTCATTCTCGCTCACAAACTGTCTTCAAGAATGCAGTGATCAGTGTGCGGGTGATGTTACACACACGGACGGCCTAGTTTACGGCCCTCTTCCACAACGGCTCTTGCGGCTTGAGTTTCTTCCAACACATGCACTGTAGCGGTGCATTGTAGCAAAAGCTTAGGGTCCATTTGGTTGCCAATAAGGCTGCATCGTATATCCCGACGGAGGGGACGCAGGCTAAGCAGAACCGCATTTTTAAAAAAAGTGTTTTTTTTGCCTTAATTACCTATAAATGTGGATGCAGGATGATCTGAGTTTAAGTTTGGTATGCTAAATCTCAAACTGTGAGTAGATGCAAGATGATGAGAAGTTGTTTAGTTGTTTGTATTTTACGAGTAAAGTTAGCGTGCACCTGAGGAAGATGTGCTTACCCCCTCTATGTTAAGATTGATAGTAAGGGAATTTTCTAAGTCCAAAACTCATATCAAAGTGCAATTTTAACCGCCATTACCAATTCTCATACTACGACCTCATCTAAGTTATTTTTTCCTTAACACTTCTCATACACCTCTCTCTCTCTCTCTCTCTCTCTCTCTCTCTAATCCAAAATAAACTAACAAATAGCACAAGCTGCTAAAGCAAGCCATGAGAAGCTTCATCGGCTTCTGCTAGAGTAGCACTAAGGGCCCGTTTGGACATTTGGTAGAGCTTCAGCTTTAACCAAAATAGCAATAAAACAGATATATCTTTTTGCTCCAGCTTCATTGGTTAGAAAATATTTGATAAACAGCTGTTCTGGTTGTTAAAAAAGCAAAATGTATTTCTTTTTTCTTTCTCCTTTCTTTCTCTTTCTTTCTCTCTTCACCTTATCACAATTCACAACTACACGGAAGAATCACCACCGCACGGAAGCACTGCACATGGCGCACACACACCTTGCAGGCGTTTCTCTCCACCTTTCTTGGTGCCTTGAGGCGTTTGGTTATCGTGCACGCGAAGCTGCTCATGGACCGCTACCAAACGCACCCTACACGCACAAGCCGAAGCCCTCATAGGCCCCGTCAAATAGGCTCTACATTAGTCAACCTAGCCAATGAATAGGCTAGGGCTTGGCGCTTGGCGGTGAAAAAAAAAAGTCCCGAACCTCCCGTGATGTATTAATTGGAGAAAAGGTAAAAGATTATTTTTTCTTGAAAAGAGGTCTTACTTTTGGCTACCTATATAGCTAGGATCGTGTTACTAACGGCGAGGACGCATGTGCATCATGCTATAGCTGTTAGTGGATCACGGTCCACCCATTTCACAAGTTAAAATAGCATAGCGAGTGGCCTTTTTTCTTTTTTTGGTGCGAACGGATCGAAGAGTCGATGTCACAAACCATAGGTTACACTACGTTGTCGCTTAGCGGTGAGCAGCACGGAGATGCCGGCGAAGATGTCATCGTAGGCGGCGTAGGACATGCACTCGGACGTCCCACACGCATGACAATACGAGTATGAGTATAATGAGGATATCGGATCGGCGGAGGACACACGCTCTCATCCGGTGCAGCGGCACGTCTGGCCGAGCACGGCGGCGGCGGCGGTGAGGCAGTAGCTAGCAGAGGCCCCCGCACATGGCGCGACTCCGGCCGGACCGCGCGGACTAGCTCTCGCCTCGTCGTCGAAGGCTAAATTCTAGCTAGTGGGACGCGCGGAAGATGGGCACGCCGGACTTGCTGTACCTGTATCATCGAGATAGATAGATAGATAGATAGATAGATAGATAGAGATAGATAGATAGATAGATAGATAGATAGATTTTTTTAGATTAAGGAACAAATGTATTCCGGTCTCCCACATTCACAATCGAATGGGTACAACCAAACTGAACCAATACAAAACCATGGTCTAAGACCAAAGACTGCTAAGCAGACTCGTCCCATCTCCAAATTGCTGATAATCAAACAACCCTTGCATTGTCTAAACACAACCCAAAGTATGCAGCCATATCACAGACCGGTAAACAGCTAAACCCCAACTCCAAACTGTAGCTAAACCGACAACACTCAAGTGTCCAATCACTGACACTCAGGATACAGAAAAAAGAAGCTAGTTCTCTAAACTCTTGTGTTGCTTGCACACAGAACTTCTGAAGATTTCCAGCCATCATTTCCAACTTCATACATCCAAACTTCATAACTTTTTTGATAGCTATGACGTTCCAGTCCATCTCCCTGAGGATTACTGTTCTATTCTCTTTTGATTCCTCCACCCATTGGATCCAAAAAATTGCAGTGACAAGCCTTTTAGACGCCAGCAGCCCTCCTTCAACTTTCTTCCCTCTTCCTCTTTAGACAACATGGACCATTGCCTGATCCAAAAAGTCCCCCTGAAAAGTACCTGCAAGCAAGAATTAGTAACTCGATTTTGAAATACTGCATCATTTCTATTCAACCATAAAACCCAACACATGGCTACAATCCCCACTATTATTTGATTTCTTAGTCTAGAAGCAAATCTCTTTATCCAAGATCCGAACATGTGAATAATGCTCTTAGGTGGTTGAAAGTTAAAGGTGATGAACAATGTATTCCAAACAGATCTAGCTATTCGGCAATCAAAGAAAAGATGTTGGATATTTTCTTCTAACCCACAGAAGCTACACTTAGTATCTCCTTTCCATCTTCTCTTAATCAAGTTATCCTTTGTTAAAATCACCCCTTTCTTTAAGTACCAAAGGAAAACTTTAATTTTCAAAGGTAATTTTGCTTTCCAGAACACGTTATTCTCTGAAATCGTCTCTCTTTTCATTAATTCCCTATATAGTGACTGTGTGAAGAAAACTCCATTCTTTTTTATTTGCCAAATAAAGCTGTCCTTATCATTATTTAGGCTTACCAGAAGAACTAAAGAGACTAGTTTTAGCCACTCATTTAGTCTTTCACCCACTAATCCCCGCCTAAATGAGACATTCAGCGGTGTTGAATTTAAAACACTAGCTAAGTCTGTACAGTTCTGGAAACCTTCGTCTTAACAGTTGTTGATCAATCCATACGTCCTCCCAAAATCTTGTTTGTTGACCATTGTTAACTTTAAACTTATCATGTTGTAACAACAAATCTTTTACCCCCATCAGCCCAGACCAAAAATGAGAGTCCCCTGGCCGTTTTTCTAACTGTGAAAGACACTTGTTCTTGACATACTTCCTTTTAAGTACATTTTACCACCGACCCTCCTCATTAAAAAGCTTGAATAACCATTTACTAAGTAAGCAATGATTCTGAGTTTCCAAATCTAAAATCCCCATTCCCCCCATACATTTCGGTTTACACAGGATACTCCATTTAGCCAGCCTGTATTTCCTTTTGTGTTCATCACATTGCCAGAAAAACCTGGATCGGTAATAATCCAACCTTTTCCTTACCCCTTTTAGGATGGCAAATAATGACATCATGAACATCGGTAGGCTTGACAAAACCGAGTTGATCAACACTAGTCTGCCTCCCAAAGAAAAAAGCTTCCCTTTCCAACTACTTAGCTTTTTCTGAAAGCGCTCTTCAATCGAGCACCAGTGTTTATTTGAAAGCTTTTGATAATGCATTGGGATTCCTATGTATCTAAAGGGAAAGCTTCCCTCTACACAGCCAAAAATTCTCTTATATTCCAAACCATGGTTATTAGCCGCTCCAAAACAAAATAACTCACTCTTATGGAAATTGATTTTTAAGCCCGATAATTTTTCAAAAGCTACCAGCACTAGTTTTAAATTTTTGGCCTCATCCAAATCATCTTCCATAAACAGTACCGTATCATCAGCATACCTTAAAATGGAAAGCCCATTATCGACTAGATTTGGTACCAACCCCCTAAACTGTCCGTAGTTTTTTGCTCTCGACACTAGGATAGCCAACATGTCTGCTACCATATTAAAAAGGATAGGTGAGAGGGGATCTCCTTGCCTAAGTCCTTTTATAGTCTGAAAGTTATGGCCTATTTCCTCATTTACTTTAACCCCCACATTTCCTCGACTCACTACCTCTTCAATCCAATTACACCACATTGGCGAAAACCCCTTCATCCTAAGAGCCTGCTGTACAAATACCCAATTAACTTTGTCATAGGCTTTTTCGAAATCCAATTTTAGAACTACCCCACTCATTTTCTTCCTTTGCAACTCATGAATAGTTTCATGAAGTATTACTACTCCTTCTAGGATGTTCCTTCCTGTCATGAATGCAGTTTGCGATTGTCTCACTACTTTATCAGCCACCGCCACTAGTCTGTTAGCCAAGACCTTAGTAAAGATCTTGAAGCTTACATTGAGCATGCAAATCGGCCTGTATTGCTGAACTTGTTTGACTTCTTTTTGTTTTGGTATAAGAGTGATTGTCTCGAAATTAAGGTTAAAAGCTAGCTTGCGTTGTCGTGGGAAGCGCGTGGCCGGCCGGCTTACTTGGTGGCGAAGCGAGAGCGCCTCGATCCAAACATGGTGCATGTGTGCGTGCCCAGATGCCCGCCCGGCAGGCCGGCGTGCGCACGTCCTGCTCAAGGCACGCAGCACCTGCTCTCGGCCGGCCTTTGCTTCCGATCGACGGTGCAAAAGTCCAATATGCATGCCTGTGCATGTATGACTGTGAGCCAGCAGGCAACCTGTTCGGTTGGCTGGTTCATATCGTTGTGATTCGTTTATGTGAGAGAGAAGTATTGTTGGCTGGTTCGTATAAATAGTAGCCATGTGAGGGGGCTGGCCAGCCAGCCCCAGCCCAGCAATCAGGCTGAGGGTGTAGCGGCAGGGGCATTCAGCATTCCACCAAGGACTGTCACATAGTGACACAGAACACTATTACCACCATTCCCTTTCCATCCTCTCTTTCACTGACACTTCTCCTATATATCTTAGGTGCTTGATCTTTTATTATTATTTAAGAACCATGTAACAAATTTGTCATTATTAAATTATAGGAAAAAATGTGAAATGTCTTTTGCTAGTTGTCCTCTCTTTTGCAAACATTTCTCCTATATCTTATTAGGTTCTCCATCTTTTATTATTGTTCAAGCAACATGTAATTTTGTCATTGTTTGACTACAGAAAAAAATGTGAATTGTCTCCTGTGAGTTGTTCTTTTAATTGTACTAGCTGATTGAGTAAGTTTGTTGCCTTAAATTTTCTAAAAATCCAGACACCTGAAATATAGCACCTTCCTTCTTCGTAACCAGTGCAACCTCCAATTTGCCATTAAATAACTGCCATGGGAAGAATTTGATCTTAGGAGGAATCATGTATTTCAAAGTTAAATAATACCGGTCATCCTACTATGGGTCCGTTTGATACATCTCTACTTCATTGCTGTGGAGAAGCTTTTCTTAGCTCCAGCTCCACGAGCAACTCCACCGATGGAGGTTAAACGGTTATTGTAAAACAATTTCTCCTGATAGAAGAAAAGAATGAAATGACCATAACACTATTTTTTTATTCTTTCCTCCTCTTCTATTTCTTTATTATTTTCCTTCTCTCTCCTCAATTCTTATCTATTTGGCCCAAGCTCTGCATTCTGCCCCTCTGACGATGTCTTCCCCAACGCTACCACCCCGCCACCGAGCACCGCGCACCACTCGCTCCGGCACCCGGCCCTCGACCGCCAAGTGTCATTTTAGGGCATTTAGCTCCCACACGAAGCCATGTCATTTTAGGGAGGCCCCACGCGCCTGGAAGAAGGAGTTGGGGGAACCGGCTTTATTTAGCTCCCACAAACTCTCCTATCTACAGAGAATGTGAATCGCAGGCAGAGTTGTGAGGAGCAGAGACCCTTGATCTCGTTTGGTAGGCAGAGTCACAGAGCTGCCCGTGGAGTGGCTCGGCTCCATAATCGCTACCAAATGGGCATACATATCCCTCTATCATCAGAAAGAAAACAACAGAGAGATTTTTGTCGTATAAACACATCCCATTCTTGTTCAGTTCCCACCTCACTTCGTCGTCTTTAGACTCCTCGACCTCGAGATCCATCATTATAAATGTTGTACACGTTTGGATATTTGATTTTCAGGGGAAATCTCTATCGAGACAAACATCTCCCCAAATGCAATCTTTCTTCCCTTTTTTCCACCCTGTTAGCAGCACCCCATTTAAACAAGCGTTTAACTTTGTGTAAACCCTAGTAAAATTGTGATGTGCCTCTAATTTTAGAGTTGAATTTCCCATTTGGCATATACTTTGCCTCCAGAATTGTCATTATTGACTTTTTTTTATGAAATCGGAAGGGAGAAGCACTCCCCACCTACTTGATTGCATTGGAGCAACAAAACGCTTGTTGCTCAGTTACAAATGAGGGAGGTATAGCATGTTTCTCTAGTAGAGTTCTTTTTTTTTTGCAAATTACACCAGTACAGACGTATATGCTTAACACGCACATACACTCTCATCTATGAACACACGTACGCAAACCCTACTCCTATAAGCACATCCGAAAGACTGTGCCAGCACATCTCAAGATTGACGAAGTCACCATAGGATCACTGGGTAGTCACTCCCTGATCACCAACTGGAAGGCGAAACTTCCACAGATTTACAACGTCTATGCACGCTCTTGAGAGGCGATTATGGGAAGGCGGCATACCGTTGAAGACCACATCATTCATGTGCTTCCAAAGCATCCAGCAAATCAAATGGATGAACGTTGTTGAATATGCGGCAGGGAGGTTTGCTGGCCGAGCGATGTTCCAGAGCGAGGCTACTTGAGTGCCGTCTGCCATAAACCCCATTTGATGCCATATAGAGTCCTTGCAAAGGGGCATTTGAGGATCAGGTGGTCTGCAGTCTCTGACTCCGCACCACAAATGGGGCATGCGTCATTATTGACTTTAATTAGTAATTTTCATGGTTTTTGGTATTAATGAGTATCTTCCAAATAAATGCACTTGACCAATAGGCATTCATTCATGGTTTTTGGTGTTGATTACACCAAGATCTAGCAGTGGGTCGTCATGGTCAGTCTAGGTTAAGGCGCAGCCCTATACGTATGGTGAATCAGGCCAGGTTTCCGAGGTTTTGTGGATCGATCAGTATGACTGAGGTGACATGCACTTCATTCTGGAATCATCCTATCTCGCAGAACGGAACTTCTTTTGCCTTTTGCAGAGTTTCGGGCATATAACGCAGACAACACAATCAAACAAGCACACACCAACTGTTTTGTGCAGCACTCTTTTATCATTGTTCATGCCGCTTCGTGCTTTCCTGCATATGTATAATCTTTTGATCTTTTTTTCCCTGTTATATATATGCTGTAGATAACTTAGCTGGCTGGCTAGCTCTAATTAAATCCAACGTCTGCACAAGCAACGCAAATTAAGATTGTTCAACTCATGGGGCCGGGATCGATCATTCATTAGTTGAAATTGGCGCTCGCATTTGAACGTGTGAAGCGATGCTTGCCGCTTTACACGTAAGCCTGCCTGCCTGTATGCATGCAACCTGATGGATGGAGAGCATCTTTCTGGTGCACTGGAATGCACGTCACGGCCATGCCTGCTATCGTCGTCGATCTATCTGACGTACTGACACCCCAAAGGAAAGGAGTTCATCTGGATTGGATTCCAAGGAAAACGACGTACGGGGACCTGCGCGCGGATCTCCTGCAGGTACGGTGCAGGTATCTCCACTCGATCGATCTCCTGCAGTCTGCAGATCGCGCGGCGTCTCCATCGGCTCAGCAAGCTCGCCAGTGCCAGGAGCATGCTGCTGAGAGGCACCATGGCAGGCGATGCAATGGTGTCCCTCCGGCCTGTTCTTCTATGACTATCCTATAAATTGGGGCGCTTCCATGCCCTGCTCTTCACCACCACCGCGTCGCGGATACATCTATCCCCAATTAACACAGGCAGGGTGTGGTGTGAGTGTGACCGGCCAAGGCCGCCAACAATGGCTTGTCGTGCGTTCGTGCTCGTGCTTGCCGCCCTCCTGGCTCTGTGCGCCGCCGCCGTCTCCGTGGCTGCGCAGCAGAGGCCGCTGCCGCCCAAATACCGCATCATCAACCCGGGCAAGTACAAGAGGGACCAGCAGATGACCCCAACGACAACAAGGCCAAGTGCTTGGCCAAGTGCGACAAGCGGTGCCCTAACCAGTGCGTCGTGCTCTGCCCGGGATGCAAGACCTTCTGCAGTACGTACTACAGTGCTAGTCTACTCTGTCTCCACTACGCATGCATCATCTCGTTTTAATTCAATTCGTTTCCAAACTCCAAACAGTGTGCGACTTCTACCCCGGCGTGTCGTGCGGCGACCCACGCTTCACGGGCGGCGACGGCAACACCTTCTACTTCCACGGGAAGAAGGACCAGGACTTCTGCATCGTCACCGACGCCGGCCTCCACATCAACGCGCACTTCATCGGCAAGCGCAACCCGGCCATGCGCCGCGACTTCACCTGGATCCAGGCGCTCGGCATCCGCTTCGCCGACCACCGCCTGTACATGGGCGCCCAGAAGACTGTCCAGTGGGACAACGACGTCGACCGCCTTCGACGGCGCGCCCATCGACGTGCTGACCGAGACCGGCGCCGTGTGGCAGTCCGCCGCCGTGCCTGGCCTCACCATTGTTGGAGTTTAGTCTAGGGTTTAGTCCCGGCGCTACAACATATAAGGCATTGGGCCTTCCCAACCCAAAAGACTAGCCTGATAGGTGAGGGTTCTTCCGCCTTATATATTGTGCTCCCCCACCATCGCTATATTGTGCTCCCCCACCATCGCTACACGATGTGGGACTAAACCCTAGACTAAACCCCAACAATCTCCCCCTTAGTCACACATCTATGTGATGCTCGAGATTGGGTTTAGCTTTTTCTGACCTCGAGTACCAGCTCTAATACCAATTGTTGGAACCGGTGGTGACCACCGAGTTCTCGATCTTGGAGCTGGCTCACAGCCGGCCCGGCTCGTTACCACGAGCCTGCGCTTCCACAGGTCCCAGATCCACTGGCGCTACACCATATAAGGCATTGGGCCTTCCCAACCCAAAAGACTAGCCTGATAGGTGAGGGTTCTCCTACCTTATATGTTGTGCTCCCCCACCATCGCTACACGATGTGGGACTAAACCCTAAACTAAACCCCAACAATCTCCCCCTTAGTCACACATCGGGGTGCCCCCGCCATATGTGACGCTCGAGATTTTATCGGGTTTAGCTTTTTCTGACCTTGGGTACCGGCTCTAATACCAATTGTTGGAACCGGTGGTACCGGCTCTTATATGTTGTGCTCCCCCACCATCGCACCCCGATGTGTGACTAAGGGAGATATTGTTGAGGTTTAGTCCCACATCGTGTAACGATGGTGGGGAGCACAATATATAAGGCAGGAGAACCCTCACCTATCAGGATAGTCTTTTGGGTTGGGAAGGCCCAATGCCTTATATGTTGTAGCGCCGGTGGACCTGGGACCTGTGGAAGCGCAGGCTCGTGGTAACGAGCTGGGCCGGCTGTGAGCCAGCTCCAAGATCGAGAACTCGGTGGTCACCACCGGTTCCAACAATTGGTATTAGAGTCGGTACCCGAGGTCAGAAAAAGCTAAACCCGATAAAATCTCGAGCGTCATATATGGCGGGGGCACCCCGATGTGTGACTAAGGGGGAGATTGTTAGGGTTTAGTTTAGGGTTTAGTCCCACATCGTGTAGCGATGGTGGGGGAGCACCACATATAAGGCAGGAGAACCCTCACCTATCAGTCTAGTCTTTTGGGTTGGGAAGGCCCAATGCCTTATATGTTGTAGCACCGGTGGACCTGGGACCTGTGGAAACGCAGACTCATGGTAACGAGCCGGGCCAGCTGTGAGCCAGCTCCAAGATCGAGAACTCGGTGGTCACCACCGGTTCCAACAACCATCACGAGGACGGCCGCGACCAACGGCGTGCGAGTGCAGCTCGAGGGCGTGTTCGACGTCGTGGCCAACGCCGTGCCCATCACCCAGGAAGACTCCCGCGTCCACAACTACGGCGTGACAGAGGAGGACGACAGCCTCGCGCACCTGGACCTGGGGTTCAGGTTCTTCGGCCTCACCGACTACGTGCACGGCGTGCTCGGGCAGACCTACCGCTCCGACTACGTGAACCGGCTGAGCGTGAGCTCGAACATGCCGGTCATGGGTGGGGCGCCCAAGTACGTCTCCTCGGACATCTTCACCACCGACTGTGCCGTCGCAAGGTTCGGCGCCGCTGGCATCTCCATGGTCACTTCCAGGGCCTATTAATAAGTTGCATGCTACACTTACACTTGTTACACGGACGTTGCCAACTTGCCGTTGATGCCCGCAGCTAGCCAGATAATAATCCTTTGGCTATATATATGCGGTCATATATATAATAAATTTGTTTACCAATTAAGAACAATTTATTTAATGTGTTAATGCATGGGGAAATCTTTATGAAGAAATTGGTTTAACGTTAAAATTCATTTGAACAAACCCATGAGAAATAAAATTGAACTTGCTAATTAGTCATTCCATATCTTGTGCATGCTGTGCGGACAGCAGGATTAATTGATGCGCTTACGAGTTGACACGATACTGCTCCACATTTAATCCGTGTGCGATCGGGCAGGCGTGCCGCTCTGATTAGGTCAACCAGAGTGAGCTCTCCAAGATGACGGCCATCATGCATGCCATGGCGCATTTGAAAGGTTCGCCGGCGTCTGGCCAGACACCTATATATGGTGCATGCACCGGCGTTCATGACGAACCTTCAACGTCGTCCTCCAAGCCACAAGTCGTTTAACAATAAGTTGTACGTTTCGTTGCTTGCAACAACTCATCTCACGCAACACATATTTCACTTGTCCTGAACCTTTAACGAAAGATGAACATGACAAGACGGAGGCCGGGCGCTCATGTATGATCATGACAAAGACGATAATCGGTCTTCACATGGGTACGACCGTCTATACATATACCTGCTTGGATGATCACTGTCATCTCCATCCATTTTCCAGAAACAGGCACTAGAGGGATCACAATCGTCACGCCCAACTTTGCCAGCCTTGCTGTCAGTCAAACACGCCAACAGGGGTCAAACGATTAGCGCTAATATGCTACAATGATACATGAAAAATATAAATTCACATAAATTCTGCGCATAATTGATTAATTATATTTTGATGGCAACCTGAGCAATAATTCACATTAGAAGTTGTCTACATGAACATATATACCCAAGAACACCGTGTAATATAATGTTATCTGATAGCACTAAAAGTACAAGTTACAAAGCCAAATCAGTTGATAGTTATTAAGGACAAATGTAAAAGCTAAACTTGTAATACTTGTGTACAATTTGTTAATTACAACAATTTGCATGGTACCACAACGTCCAGTGGTCTCAAAAGAGTTTCTGTGTGGTTTTTTTTTTTTGGAGGACAGAAAAAGATTTTCTGTGTACTCACCTTCTGAATGGCCATTCACTTTGTCACATGTGGGTCTGGATCCAAACCTGCAGAAGAACGTCAACAATGACTAAGAATCGATCAGAGCAGTGCTTAAACAGCTAACGATCTAGATTATGGCATACATATGTTGTTTGGAATGCCTAGCTCATGCAAGGGAAGGGGTGGGAAATGATAGAGTAGGGGAATCAATGAAGACCAAACATGGGTAATAATACATGATAATACATACCTGGTGTCGGGGTTGCAACCCCGGGGTATCTCAGGGCACCGACAAGTTAGCAGGCCATGCGGCCCACAACTTACCCGTTAGCGAAAGTCCGAGCGACCGAGGCCCAGCTAAGCCAAGCACTCCAAGGCTGGGGTCAGCCACAACCCCTTAGCCATACGGCGCCCACAAGACGCATGACCTCTCCTCTGTCACGACCCCCGAAAGGGGTGGAGAGAGGTCACGCCTAGCTAAACGTGCCTGCTCTAACACGAGCAAGCACACCGGGATAATAGTCACATCGGTCCGGTCAGACACCATCCATGCGCCACGCCACACCGACGAGACAATACCGCATAGCAGAGGCAACGGGTATGAAACCCACCGTCTAGATACGGACCGACAAGACGAATATCTGGACCGGCAAGACAAATGTATGATCCCACCCACTATAGGATGGGATCCACGACGAAGGTCTCAACATAGGAGCCATCCAGACCGGTTGAGAGCCCCGACCCCGATGATCGGGGTCATGGCCCTCATCCCCATGAAACGACTAGGCAATCGATGACCCGGGCAAACTCCCATACGATGCCCCGGGAAACCAAGAGATGGCGACGAAGGCCATGACGGATACCGCGTTGCATAGGATGGCTGACAAACCACCATTGAGGCTACAGTGTCGCCACTGCCGGCACAGTAGCGCCACGTCACATCCTGCCGCAACGAGGCCAGAAGACCATGACGATAGCCACAACTGAATGTACCCTACAAGACGGCGTAGCTTGCAAGCCAAGTTAGCTAGGCCCTCCCTTAGGCTCTCGACCCTCCGGTCGGGAGAACCTCCTCTTTGTATTAGCCCTGGCCCTGAACTCTATATAAGGGCCGCCAGGGCACCCCTCTCAGGGACTATTCTGAATCCTCTACCATTCCATTTATTCACCATCCTGGAGCTTCTCTTCGGGCAGTCCTTCGTCTAACATAGGTCCTTTTATCTCATCCATCATTCTTGAACCCCCCCCCCATTGTAAGAACTTCAAAGCATTCAAGCGAAGAACACGTACTCGGTCATCTCTGAGACTGGACGTAGGGCTCCGGTATGAACCAGTATAAATCCTCGTGTCTATTGGATGCTACCATCGTCTTTCTAGAATAGCGTGACAATCGTATAAATTTACTAGTTCGGTTTACAAAACATCGACAATTGGGATAGTCGCGCACTCTCGTCTGTTGAGAAGGATGTGATGGCTCCTCACATCGTTGGTGAATTCACTGGTGGAATGGCCCGCGGCGGCCACATCCGCAGTGAAAACTACGAATTTACCGGCGTCAAAGGGCTAGCGCCCACGCCCGTCTTCAGCCACGGTCCAGACCTCCACCTTACATTCCTAGTGTGTAAGCCTAGCTCTTTATTGTAACTAGTTTTAAAAGCTAGCTTGCGTCGAGTCTAGGGGTTAGTGGAGCTCTTTAGTTAGTCTTTGAGAGCTCACTAACTTAGTATAGTGACTTAGCAAATTATGTGTTTAGTGATCATAGTCACTAAAATTGTGGTAGGTGTCTTGCTCTTTTAGTAGGCTAGCGTAACATTCGCTTCGCCATTTATTTATCTAACCTACTTACTAAGTGTTGTTATAAAAAATTTTATAGGTATTCACCCCCCTCTAGCCATTAGGACCTTTCACCCTCTCGTGTACAGAACTAAGCCATAGTTGGTTTGATGCCTGGCCTAGTATCTGTAGTTTCTGCTCTGTACTATTAAAATGGTTCTCGGTCTTCATAGAACAAAAGGCAGTGAAATATAAAAGATTCATGGTGAAATAGGCGGTTGATGATATGGTACACATTTGGAATCCATCACTTAGGACGTTCATTCATAATTTTAATACAACACTTCAAATTCATAGAACACAATCTTTAGACTGATGTCTCAATCAACAAACTTGAATATTTTTTCTTCTCGAACACGCAAAAGGTTTGGCGTCTTTGTATTAAGGTAGAGAAAGTTGTTTACAAACTTGAATATTACAATCTGGTTTACCAAAATACACTTGCACACAGTTTGATCTGAACAGTCATACGTAGATGCACACACGTACATAGTTACACTGGAAAGTAGCATACACACAGGTTAACAATATATATCTAATGAACTTGATTTTCCTAGACCTCATCCTTACCAACTATATAACACAAAAGCTTGCTCAAGTCTTTCCTCGGTAACTGGTCTTCAGCTTCGGTTATTTGTAGCTGCACAGGTAGTAGCATTTGGGCATCTTGATCTGTTATGTCCAGCTGTCTTCAGATCTTCCAGTGCGGTGTTATCTTAGTTGAGGTACCCTTCGACTTGTTTTTCTTTGCTCCTTTGGTTACCTCCCCTGTGGCTTGTTTTCCTAAAGTCTTTTTCTCGTTGCTCCAATTGGACTCTTCAGTCTTCGATCTATTCTTCTTCTCAATTTTGTCTAGGAATGAAACAAACCTCTTTCCCTTTAGTCTTCCCTGTGTTCTTGTCATATAGGTGGTGCTTTGATCTTCATTACTTCTTCATCACTCATTCCTGCACACGATCCAGATGCACCATATCTATTCCCAGACTTAGCTTCAGTATCAGATGAGGTATAATTCACCATGCACTCACTGCATTTCCTTGTCATATGTACGAGGGAGAAAGAAAATATAAAAATAGTTAGAATGATTTCAAAATAATCAAGGATTCTTGATGCAAAATTATATTTATATTTTAGGAGCGATATTTTAGAAGTTATTTTTAAAAAATTCAACAAATGTACTCCTAAATTGTTTTTAAACACTTCAAAAACTGATTGATTGATATTTGGGAACCATTGAAGCTGCTCTAGGCTTTTATAAGCTACTAGTACTTACTCGCAGAGCTAGTAGCTAGCGGTTGACCTGAGCACCGAGACGAGCGTGACTTTCGCCTGAATGTTTCCGGCAGGCCAGACGGAGCCCATGGGAGCGGCATGATACATGGAGCAGCTTTTGTACGCTACCAGTATTTTCTTTACAGCTGGAGATGAATGGGAACAAACACATGTAGCAGAGTATATACGTTTGGTGTGCCCTGCAGTAGTATGTCACTTTGTCCCCTCGTACGCGACTTGCCATGTAAGTCGCTTGACCTCCAATTCAGGCACTAGCTAATAAGCTAAGCTAGCTTAGCGCTCTCGATCTATCTCGCTCTCAAGTCTCAACTCAAAGGCAGTCAAATTATACTAGGAGGTAGGAGACTGTAGGAGTATCACGTACTCGAACAATAAGTCCCGCCCTCAACCTCAAGTGCAGTGCAGACGACTGCAGTTGAGGTTGAGGAGGCCTCCGATCCAGGTGTCCGGCCGGCCATAAGAACCTCAGCTCGTGTGTGCATCCATCTCCGACGATCCGCAGCAGCTAGCCAAAGCCAGCAGAGGTCGATCGAGAGCACAGCACATGCATCACTGCGCTACCTGCATGCGCCATGGCTACTAGTCTTGTCAAGTGCCTGGTGGTGGCCGTGGCCGTGGCGCTCCTGGCGCTGTCGTCGTGCGGCGTGGCGTCGGCGGCGGGGAGGGGCAGACCCGGACCCATAGCCACCACCAGGACGAGGTTGAAGCCCGGTGCCAAGCCTGCGGGCAAGTTCATCACCGTCAGACCCGGACGGTTCGGCCACAAGCGCGACTACCAGGCCGCCTGCTCCGACGAGGGTGGTCCGGCGTGCTACGTCGGATGCCCAAAGGAATGCCCTAACAAGTGCCTCGTCTTCTGCTCCTACTGCCTCAGCTTCTGCAGTACGTTCGTTCGTCGTTATCATGCTCATGCATGCATCGCCATCGCCCGCCCCTTGCATGTTGTCATTGTTTCTCCTAGCTGCTCTTTGCGTGGCTAACGAATATGCATATGCAAACCGACCAGTGTGTGACATCTTCCCGGGCACCTCCTGCGGCGACCCGCGCTTCACCGGCGGCGACGGAAACACCTTCTACTTCCACGGCAAGAAGGACCAGGACTTCTGCATCGTCTCCGACGCCGACCTCCACATCAACGCGCACTTCATCGGCAACCACAACCCGGCCCTCAACCGCGACTTCACCTGGGTGCAGGCGCTGGGCGTCACCTTCGGCGACGACAACCACCGCCTCTACGTCGGCGCCCGCAGGGCCGTGGAGTGGGACGAGGAGGAGGACCACATCCAGGTCACCTTCGACGGCGAGCCCGTCGACGTGGACGCCGTCAAGAACGCGCGGTGGGCGTCGAAGGCCGTCCCCGGGCTCTCCGTCACGCGGATGGACACCGTCAACACCGTCATGGTGGAGCTGGACGGCGTCTTCGCCATCTCCGCCAACGCCGTGCCCATCACCGACAGGGACGACCGGATCCACAAGTACGGCAAGACGGGCGGCGACAGCCTGGTGCACCTGGACCTGGGATTCCAGTTCCGTAACCTCACCAAGGACGTCGACGGCGTGCTGGGGCAGACGTACCGCCCGGGCTACGTCAGCAGGCTGGACATCGGCGCCAAGATGCCCGTCATGGGCGGCGCGCCCAAGTACCTGTCCGCCGGTCTCTTCTCCACGGACTGCGCCGTGTCCCGGTTCCACCACCGCAGCGGCGGCGGCGGCGGCGGTGCTGGAGCCGGTGTCGTCACCACGTTCGCCTCCTAATAAGTTCCAAAGTAAACTAACGTTATTTGGCACGATCATCACCGAGCGATCCATGCCATGAAATAAGTTAACAAGCAATATCGACCACACCATTATATTATATATGTTGTGTACGTAGGCTCATATATATAGAAATAAGTTTTTATTGCCCCGCGTCTAAATTTTGGCTCACACCTTAATAAATGGTTAAAAAGGTGCCCCGATACTATTTCGATATTCATTCCGTCCTAAGCTTTTTAATTCAAACACAAGAAGGGCGCCGACCCACTATATAAAAAAACAATTTTATCTTCTTAGAGAAGCAAACCAGCAAGAAAATTACCAAGTATGCATTTAATATTAATAGATAAGAAAAGAATTACAACAATAAATAAAATTAAAGAAAAAACACCCACTCCAAAGCAGTGACATCAATACAACAACAAAAAGACACACAACCAACATAACCACGCCATAGCACCAACAACAGTGCCACCCCACACACCAAAACAACAGGCACGAGAGGGAGGGGGTGAAAGGGAGGGTTTCTAAAGCGATACCTCTAGGGAGGGAAACAACATCCGCAAATGCCACCAACGTTGGTCGACGATTCTAACACTACGTGTCTTAACCAATCCCCTCAAGTGGGGAATATAATACCGGTATCATGGTAAAGCCTCTCCAACAAGGGATGGGATAAATACTAATAGTGGAGTATTTGTTGTATGGCAAGGTTTGGTAACAAGCTTCTCAATTCCTGAGAAAATATGTTATGGAGCTGCACATAAAGCTATAAGCACCATCTATACCGACACCAAAAGCATCACCATTGTCGTCCTTAGCACCAAAACGATCAAGGAAAGTTTAATATAGACTGGTTAAATCAAAGCTATTTCCAGAGGCACTTCGACAACCTGCCTCAAATTGAACGATTAAAAACAACATGCACCGTCGCTTTGTTGGCCTCTTCATTGTCATGTCCTCTAACATGATAGATCCGTCACCACCAACCACAACCCTGTCAAATCCACCATCATTCAATTTACAGATCTTGCCAAGCCTCTTAGACCACAAGACACTAGGGACTTTGGGTAGTGCCCTATATCTAGCCATTGTAGATTCCTGTCCCGTTGTGTAGCCCGCCATGGGTCTCATAGTGTAACCCTATCCAATCGTGCCCCATCGTTGAAACAACCACAGAGACACAATGGAGACCCAATGTAGAGTCACCATATGTGGAGCCCCACTAACCCACCCTGTCGTGAAGCTCTGTTGACCATTTCGCGGAGTCAAAATGGGGATGAAAGAGGGAAGGGGCAAAGAGGAGAGCGAGAATTAGTGAAAACCCCAAGTAACTACCTTATATGTTAGTAAATTGGGCCATACAAATTATTATTGAAAAGGTATAGCAAGAACAAAGCTAAACCGGATCATTTAGCCCTTCATTGGTTGAGAAAAAATAATTTTTCTTTGCTCTATGGACAACTATGGTAAATCCATTATGCTTGAATCTTCCTATATATGTAGTTTTTGTCGTCAGGTTTTTCTTTCCAAAGATGAAAATGTTCCTTCTTATTCAAAAACTACTCCAACTTAAAAGCAATATGATTTCCATACTAACTATGTGGACAAGGAAATTAGTGGAGGTTCTATGATGTTTTTAGATGCAAGTTTAGAACCGATGATACTCAAGCGACTGTGGAAAGGCTACAGGAGACGACACTTGAAAGATTGTTTCTTGAAAGTTCACCAACCCAAACATGTGTAAGACACAATTACAATGTTCGCACTCCATTCTTTTCAATTTAGCTAAAATTTCAGATACATGAGCAAATTGGATGAATTTTTGAATGTCCATCATCCTTTATAGGCCTCCACAAAGTGGATCCTCCCATACCAAGGGCATCAAGTTACACTCCCAGGCATTTCCGTGTCAACCCGCAATCAATTGCACCTTTGACTATGGTTCGCGGATTCTGGGTGGCCTCCATGAAACACCTGCCCCAAATATATAACATTGAACGATGCCCGCTCAAGCTCCATGTTTAAACTCCTCGTCATGTAGCTCCTAGCCAGTGACTCGACTATGCCAAGCAAGGGCTATCACCAAGGATGGATTGCTATATGGTCCAAAGCACGGAAGCTGCTGCTCTATGACATGCCCTACGAAAAATTTGGGACCTCCTTGATGAGACTCTTTTTAACTATACATGACCTGAATGGATGCTAGCCCTTCTAAATGCTATCAACAAAGAGGCAAGGGCTAATTTGATGTTCCTATTTTGGAGAACCTAGCACCTCAGAAATGATATCATCTTCGGGAAAGGGCAAGTCCTATATCTGCTTTGGTAGAATTCCTTCATAATTATCTCAGCTTGACAAAACCAAACAGCAATCTGCCAGCGCTAGGAAAGGGCAAAGAAATCAATAATCAGAACCTGTACAGTCCTACTTGGCTCCTCTTTATGACAAAAAAGACAAAGTTCCTTGGTCGCCTCCTCCCCCCGACTGGATAAAAATAAATGGATGCAGGTTTTGACCCCTCTCCGATCATGCTAGCCTTGGTTGCATTTCAAGGGACCATATGTGTGAGGTTTTGTTTTCTAGATGGTCAAGCGATCAACGACTCAAATCGGCTAAAGAAGCGGAAATTGTCTAGCTGCTTGGACGGGTCTAAAACACACCCTATCCTCATGGAAAGGGTGTCTCTGGTTGGAATCAGACTGCCTCGCAATGGTACATCATCTAAAGGACCAGTGCAAAAACCGATCTATATTTTGCCATACCATAGAAAAAGTGACGGAAATCCTTAAGAACTTTCGGGAAGTCAAAATCTCTAAATGTCACCGGAGTGCAAATGAGGTAGCTCATGAGCTATGTCAGTTTGGTAGGAGAGAGCTTCCAAATGTTTTGCTAGTGACATCCCGACCTACGTGTCGGCGGCTTTAGCCCGTGATTGTAATCATGTTGACCTTCTATAATTAAGCTCTCCCCTTTCAAAAAAATCAAGGATGGATTGACTTGTCCACCTTGCAAGAACGTCTCGACCCCCAAGGAGGTATACTCAAAGCACCTTAGGGAACCACCTCGATGCTTGGGCTTGAGAACTAGCAAATTAGGGAATATTGCTGGAATAAAGCCATGACCCTTAGGACGTTGATATAGCATGGGATAAAAGTTGTATTGTAGTCAGGATAAGGGGCAAATCTAGCATCGGCTGCAACTGGGGCTTGGTCCCCCTTCCTAACGTTGTCGGAAGCATGGAGCCCCCCCTAAGCTCACTATAGATCTAGTCTTTGAAACTTGGTAGGAGGGGCTAAATGTAGAAAATAAGGAGAGGGCCCTCTCCTAGCATATATTCTAGATATATGACAATATGACTATTTTATGTACATACAGAATGACCCAGATGTACCTGAACCATGGGACTAAAGGTATCTCCATTACTGTAACTAAAAGGCTAGCGTACCATATTTGGATACGAATAAAAGTAGCCCCTAGGCAATAAGACAATCATTGTACATGATTCCATATACACTCTATCTCTTGCTCTTGATACTTCTCTCCTCGCATGTTTCTAAGCTTGGCTATTTGGGACATTCTGATATGGAGAGGCCTAATGCCACGAGGCAAGACCAAATTTTCCCCAACAAAAATGTTAAATGAAGGAAGAGATTTTCATAATAAATCTTATGATATTATGTGCGTACAATATTAATGAACACAAAATTAAGGATTTCCTAAAAAAACTAACGGTCACTTAAAAATAAAAACTTGGCCGCATATAACGTCATACTTAGGTCCCGTTTGGTATAGCTCCACCATGAGCTCTTGAAGTTGTTTTTGTGCCGAACGGAGTAAAACAAAACAACTCTATATATCCAAGAAGCTCCTCAACACACTTGCTCCCACGAAGGTTTAGTCAGAGGTAGAGCTAAAAATAGTATCTTCAACCAGCTCCACCTTGCTCTAGCCTTGTGGGTCCCGACGAGGACAGGGCCCTTTTTGCCTCAGCACAAAGAAGAAGAGGTGCGCCTGAGCACAGGGCGCGGCCGCTGGGGCACGCGCGCCGCCGCCGCTCTTTCGCGGAGAAGAAGGTGGTCGTGGGGAGAAGAAGGGCCAAGCCGGATTAGGTAAGGGGGTGTTTGGTTCAACTAGGAGCTCCTAAATCTAGTCCCATTTAGTCACTTTTTACCCAAATACTATAACTAAATAAGACTAAAGGGGATTTAGTCCTCTCTAGCAACTCTGGAGTGACTAAATGGGACTAAATCATTTAGAATGGACTAAAGTTTAGCAGCCGAAATCAAACAGGCCCTAAGAAAAAGGAAATAGAGAGGAGAAAATAAGAAAAATATAAATTGAAAGATACTATGGTCATTTTATTTTGCTTGCCCAACATGAGATGTTTTACCAAACGGTTTATCAAAACGGTTCCAACTTCATGATGAGTTGTTCATGAAGTTAAAGGTGAAAAAACAGCTCCACTGATAAGTGGAATTATGCCACGACCTTAAATTCAGAGTAGAGAGAATATATATATAATTCTGTTTCCATTTTCTAATAAACTATTAGTAGGTGATGAGAAGTGACATATTAACTAGTGATACTTGTTTATTTTTTTAATAATAATCGGCCGTGGGCCCTCAACAGGCTCCATCGTCACACAGTACTAGACGACATGCATGGTCGGTACGGTTGATGGGCCGGCGGGCACCGGTGAGGTCCTTACCGCCCGCGCTAGCTGCACTCAGAGCCCGGCGGGCGGCGGCAGGCACTGCACGGTGGTCGTCGCGCATGTCACGGCCGGAATGCATGCAGGTTACGTACGGAGGAGGCCATTGGCCGGCCGGCCGGCGAGAGTGCTCGGCTCGGCTGCTTGTGCCTTTTTATTTGGCTTGATCGTGATCCCAGGCAGGCAGAGTGAGTTGACCTGCTGGTGATCACGTACGTACGATACGATCGACCGAACCGATGCAACGTATGGAGTGGAGGTGCGTAACTTTCGGCATAATTGTTTCACAGAGACGACCAATTAGCTGCTGCTGCTGCAGCTAGCTAGCAGCGTAACTCGGATGGCAGTCGTCAGTACGTCCAATATTTTATGCTCCATATGTCGTTGTTTCTTTGCAAGTTGAAACAGCAGCTAGCTAGCTAGGTCAACTCACTAATAATAAGCAGTACATTACAGTACGTAGCATTGAATTTATATTACCTCGCTTGATATGGGGTCTAATAAGGCAAGAACCAAAAAGAGAGGGTCCAGACTCCGATCCAGTGCATCCTAACATGCATCTATGCATGCTCCTTACTCCTTACAGCAATTTGGACTATATAAAACTTGCCACTTATTTGGTAGTGTAACATCCAGGCATATGCTGCTGATCAATCATGTTGCACCGTTGGATAATTAAATTTCTACTAGTATATATTTGCCACTTTGTCACCTTGCTCGCGAACGTTAGTTAACGCGGCCTGCTGTCTCCGTTCCCAGTTCTTCCCAGCAACTACTTGCTCCCTCCCAAATTATAAGACGTTTAACTTTTTTGACTTCAAATTTGACCACTCGTCTTATTCAAAAAGTTTGTACAAACATAGTCAAATTTAAGTCATTCTTAAAGAACTTTTATTAATAAACCAAGCCACGACGAAAGAAGTGATATTTTGCACAGATTTTTGAATAAGACGAGTGGTCAAATTTGGTGTAAAAAAAGTCAAATGTCTTACAATTTAAGATGGATTGAGTACTTACTACGCTTCTCTATGCCAGTGCCAGCACAGATAGACTTACTGTGTACGTATATTAGCTTAATAATTAATTGACCTTGATCCAATTGTACGTAAGCAAACTGCATCCATCGATACGATCGATCTCCCCCAGCAGCTCCATCCATCCATCCCATGCATGCATTTACTATATATACGGTTCGATCGCTCTAGCTAGCTCGATCATCAATCAGATCATCATCCAGCAGGTGATCGGCCAGCTAGCTACTAGCTTGCCATCGTATTATACATACAGAAGCTAGCTAGCTGTGAAGACGAAGCATGATGATGGGGAGGCGCGCCGGCATGGCGGTGGCGGTGGCGCTCCTGCTGGCGCTGTCGTCCTGCGGCGTGGCGTCGGCGAGGGGACCGATCAGGAGACCCCGCAAGAAGACGCTGCCGCCAGGGCAGAAGCCTCCGCCAAACTCCAAGTTCTTCCCCATCACCCCCGGCAGATTTGGGCACAAGCGCAACTACGAGGCCTCCTGCGCCGACGAGAACGGTCCGTCCTGCTACGTCGGCTGCCCTTCCGATTGCCCAAACTCCTGCCTCGTCTTCTGCGACTACTGCCTCGCCTTCTGCCGTACGTCCGTCGATCCCGACCAAGTTTAGCTAGCTAGCTAGCAGTAAAAATGTCACTCACTTACGCACACCGTACCGTATATATATATATACCCTGCATGCAGCTTGTGACATCTTCCCGGGCACCTCCTGCGGCGATCCGCGCTTCACCGGCGGCGACGGAAACACCTTCTACTTCCACGGCAAGAAGGACCAGGACTTCTGCATCGTCTCCGACGCCGACCTCCACATCAACGCCCACTTCATCGGCAACCACAACCCGGCCCTCAACCGCGACTTCACCTGGGTGCAGGCGCTGGGCGTCACCTTCGGCGACAACCACCGCCTCTACGTCGGCGCCCGCAGGGTGCGGAGTGGGACGAGGACGAGGACCACATCCAGGTCACCTTCGACGGCGAGCCCGTCGACGTCGACGCCGTCCGCAACGCGCGCTGGGCGTCCAGGGCCCTCCCGGGCTCTCCGTCAGGCGCACCAAGGACGTGAACGCCGTCGCCGTGGAGCTGGACGGCGTCTTCTCCATCTCGGCCGGCGCCGTGCCCATCATCACCGAAAAGGACGACCGGATCCACAAGTACGGCAAGACGGACCGCGACAGCCTCGTGCACCTCGATCTCGGATTCCAGTTCCATAACCTCACCGACCACATCGACGGCGTGCTGGGGCAGACCTACCGCCCTGGCTACGTCACCAAGGTGAACATCAGCGCCAAGATGCCCATCATGGGCGGCGCACCCAAGTACCTGTCCGAGGGCCTCTTCTCCACTGATTGCGCCGTCTCCAGGTTCCACCGCAGCGACTCCATTGCCGCTGCCGGCGCCGTCACCACATATGCCTCTTAAAAATACACACTCCTCTTCATGGCGGCGAGCCGCTCATCCGTCAACCGTGCGTGCCGCCATGCATGAGGAAGACGAAATAATTAAGAATGAAGCCAGCCCAACAATTAATAGACTCCGTCGTCGTCGTCCTATGTACTCTCCTACCGTGTAAGCAAGAAATAATTAAGCGTACGTTATTAAGTGATCATTCCGTTGATCAAAAATTTATTATTATGTAAAGAGCTCAACAAATTGAATTGTGATACTCGTTTTCCATGCATGCTACTACTCTTTGCTACTCTTTGTGGATAATTTGTTATACACCACTGAGATACACTATATCTAAATACATACCAAAAGTTATGTTGCCAGAAAAAACAAAACTACTTATATTCAGAATGGAGGAAGTATATGACATACATTTGGTTGTTGCATGTGAACTAAGGATTGTTTCGATCCTACTGAGATTATAATAGTCGGCTTTTACAGTCGCCAATCCGACTTATCCTCATTGAAATGTAAGTTCACATACATACATGAATGTGCAGAAGTTTAGAACGAAATAAAACTTGGATGAAACATTCATAGCGTTGCTTCCAAGACTGCTATGTCTTATAGAATAAAATAAAACTTGGATGAAACGCACACTCTCAATGGGAAGTTCCATTTTATGGTTTCATAGACATTTAATTTCATGACTCATGGAGAGTTGGTAATTGTGCCAAGAGAGTTTCATCCCCATGAACCTCACTCCTCTCTCTTAAAAATGTCATCAAAAGCATTTACGTGGCACCTTATTAAATGCAAATGAAACTACCATTGAGACTGGCCTAAAAGGTGAATGGAGCTGAAACGACTCCCCTTCTTCAACCTTACCCTTGCTTCCCAAGTTGGGTTATGTGAATGTGCACCCCGATGATTGCTAGGGGAGATAAAGGGGAGGAGGAAAGAGAATGAATAGAAAGGGAGGGAGGAAGAACAAAGGGTCAAAGGCAAAAATGACATTTTACCCCGCAAACCGCTAATGGACATTTTAATAGGCGTGATGTCCGGTAACAAATTTGTCACAAATCAAAGTGTTGACTAGCCAATTAGTTTTTTCTCATTGTCCACAGGCAACATGGCATCACTTTCGGTGTTTTGTAGAATTTTTTTGCTAGCCTTAATAAGGCCTTACTAATAGTGTGATCATCTCCCGATTTTCACCGAACTTCACCAATGATCTTATTTTGTAGGTATTTGTTCCTAAGAAGTTCTTCCGAAACCTATATAGACACTTATTAAGAATAATTAAGCAAAAAAATCCGACTTTCAAGATTCCTATACAACGTTGTTGTTTTGGTAAAAAAAAAAACTTTCCATTTCATCAGTCTAATTTTTTTCTTAAGGTTACCGCCTTTTCCAAAAAAGGGAGACTTATGAAGTCTAATTTCTTATTAATACCTTTTTGATACTTCAAAGAAAGACATCATAAATATAGAAAGACTACTCAAAATTAAACAAAGTTAATCAGGACTAGTTGTCTTCCAAGGCAAAACACCTTCCTTTCTAGCCACTCTTTTTTCCTCAAAAAATGCTCTTCAACCGCTTTTCAATCTTTATTATTCAACCCTTTTGTGATTCATTGGTATACCCGATACTAGAAGCAAAACAACTCAATTTTGTGAAACTTATTTTTTAAGAAAAAAACTAAAACTTGCTCATAAACACATAAAATAATTTTGATACTAGTTGTTTGCTTCAAATTGTGCTGAATGAATACAGTACCATGTCATAAGCATGTTGGAAAATCAAAATACCATTAATCTTCCTAATGTGGGAGCAAGCTATATATCCTTGATGGGGGCGGGGCATGCCAGATTCAGACGCGAGGAGGGTTGATTCGGGGTAGAGAGGTAGGAGGTGAATAGGTGATGAGAGAGAGAGAGAGAGAGAGAGATATGTGAGAGTTGGGTGGGCTAGGTTTTTAGTGGCCCGGGGCCTCGTTAATTAATAGCCTCAGTAAATCAGTTTTAGGATGTGCTAGTTTTTTAACTGTCTCCATAAATAACAGACTGTCTCTAGATTTCAATGTGCATTTTTAGAGACCAGTATAATTCTCGACCATGCATCTTTGTAAATAAAAGAAGATGCTTTGTTTTCTGAAATTAATTAGTTTTGCAGTGGTGGTGACAGTGGAGCCGGGACATAGCTAGCTAGCGTCGTGTCGTCCGCGCTGGCCGGCCGAACCAGTCAGCATGCGTGGACAAGAGCGCGCTTGTCTCTGCAGCTAGAGCTTGAGCTTTCCTTGCTGCTCAAGGAGCCGCTAGCAGCTAAAGAAAGAATAGCCAGATAAAGGAAGCCTGGATTGCTTGTTCTCGACTTGTGCTGGCTTTTAACTTGTTTGAAATACGGCCACTTGAAACTGGCATACACTCACATCTGTGTAAGTTGGGAGTATATATTTCTAATCCTGGCCGTGGCCGTGCGTGCTTGTGAAGAAGATAAGAAGGAAATGCATGGCGTTTACTTGTGGTAGCTTGGGCGACATGCACGCGCGCGCGCTGCAAGTAGCAACAGCTAATAGCAGTAGTAGGAATCCTGCTAGTACGTTTGCTTATTAGGATGTTGCTTGTACCGTCTGGCGTCTGTACAAACAAGGGATCGGAATGGAAGCACGCGTAGTATATGCATGTAAAAAGTCATGTATGCATTTGCTGAGGCGGGACTCAAGGCAGGCATGCATGCACTTCCGATCCCCATGCATGATCCCTCCATGTCAACGTCAACGGCTCAATGCAACGCGGCACATTTCTGTATTTGCTGAGGCGGGACTCAAGGCAGCCGGCCAAAGGAACCCCAGCTAGCTAGCTAGCTTGTATCGCACACATTTCTGTACTATATATAAGCTAGCTTCAGCTTTGGCTGCGAGGCAGAGCATATATAAGCCTGTACTGTACCTGGCGGAGAAGGAAGAAAAGAGATCTATCTCCATCGAGCGAGCAGTAGTAGCCAGCAGCGTCGTAGCACGTCCTGCGGGCTGCTGTGTCGTCTAAGCCGGCCATGGCAGCGAGCAGCAGTCGTATGATGAGCTTGGCCCTGCTGCTGTGCATGGCGGCGTTGGCTGTGATGATGCAGTCCGCTTCTTCTCAGGGCATCCCCAGCCTCACCGTCGGCTCCAACTCTCTTGCCACCACTCTCAAGTGCACCAACACCAAGACCAACAAGACCACCTGCAGCGCCACCTGCAACAAGCGATGCCCTCGCAAGTGCCTCATCCAGTGCCCAAGCTGCAAGACATTCTGCTGTATGTGTCGTTCAGTGTTGATCGTTTACATTGGCCATTTTTTTGTTGGTTTTAATTTGTAGCCATGCATATGCATGCAGTGTGCGACTTCTACCCCGGCGTCTCCTGCGGCGACCCGCGCTTCACCGGCGCCGACGGCAACAACTTCTACTTCCACGGCAAGAAGGACAAGGACTTCTGCATCGTCTCCGACGCCGGCCTCCACATCAACGCCCACTTCATCGGCAAGCGCAACCCGGCCATGAGCCGCGACTTCACCTGGATCCAGGCGCTCGGCATCCGCTTCGCGCACCACCACTTCTACGTCGGCGCCGCCAAGACGCCCAAGTGGGACCCCTCCGCCGACCACCTCGCGCTCGCCTTCGACGACGAGGACCTCGACGTCGCGTCCCAGCTGCCGCGCTTCGTCGGCGCCCCGCTGGTCGCCGCCCACGGCTCCCGCCCTGTCCGTCACCCGCACCGCGCGCGTCAACACCGTCGTCGTCGAGCTCAGGGGCGTCTTCCGCATCGTCGCCAACGTCGTGCCCATCACCGCCGAGGACTCCCGGATCCACAACTACGGCGTCACCGACGACGACAGCCTCGCGCACCTCGACCTCGGCTTCAAGTTCTACGACCTCACCGACGACGTCCACGGCGTGCTGGGCCAGACCTACCGCCCGGACTACGTCAACAGGCTCAACGTCACCTCCAAGATGCCCGTCATGGGCGGCGCGCCGGACTACCTCTCCTCCGACCTCTTCTCCACCGACTGCGCCGTCGCACGCTTTGGTGGTGGACGCCACCAAGCAGGCACCACCGCCGCCGTTAATATTGCCATGGTCACCGACGACATGGAATAAGTACTCCTATATGTGTACTGCGTCTTAGACGTACGACCATCGGATCTTGATCGATCGTTTCCATCTTTCTTCTACACTGAAGAAGAAGAAGAATCAGCAGCAGCAATAACCACAGTTATATATACAATTAATTGGTATCGAAATATACGACGACGGCAGCATATATATGTTTATGCATAGAACCGATTGAAATTATATTCAATAAATAAGGCTTATAATATATATTATTATACTCTTAAATATATAGTATATATGAGCCGCATCGAGTTTGCTTGGCAGTTGCTTCAATTTTCAATCCTTGTGTCTTCAACATTAATTATTGTTATTCGATCAGTTACATGTGCTTAGCTGGAGCGTACGCATGTACACTCAAATTTTATCTGTATAATAACCCATTTATATTTGGTTTAATTTATTCATTATTACCTTTTTAAATTTAAAAAACTAAGTTTGAGCCACCACTTCCATCCTTTGGTCCCGGCACTCAATTTTATCCCTTAACTTTTCAAAATGACTGTTTCAGTACTTGAACTTCACTTTTGGGCTCACTATCATCCTAGGACTGTCCGGGTGATTGTTTTAGTACTCACTTTATTTTTGGGCTTAATTTCATCCTTTTTTTTTTAGCCTGGACTGTCCTATCTAAATACATCCTGTGCAAATTATATGCTTATTTGATTATGACATTCTGTGCAAATACATCTAAATAAAGGCACGCCCTGGCAAATACATCACTTTTTTTTAGCCAGGGTGTCCACGTACGTTCTATTTAGTTGGTGCATTAGATAGAAATTCCACGACTCAGATGAAACGCGTCACAACCAGTCTTTCTCTATGCGTTCGGCGGTGGATAGATCAAACAGGTGGACACATTCAATGAAGTAGATACAAAA